CTATAAAGCTAGCTAGAGTCTGGATTGAACAAACAACAAAGAAAACTAAAAACACTGTTGAATTTATGTTAACTACCATATAGTCTGATGCTTTGGGAGACATGCTTCTTGCTGAGAGCTGAATGAGAAGATTGATGCCACTGTCAGCTGAGAGTGTTTTCAATCTTCTCATCTGATCTCAATAAGCCTATTTCCAAAAATGTCAAACTATTTGTTGAATTTTACAACTTTTTTAATGTTCCCTTCACCCTTTACATGCTCTAGATTCAGATGTTATTATGCCATTTGCTCATGAAATACTTGTGGAGACGCTGGAAATTCAATTATAAATGTGGCTAATAAAATAAATGTTCCTAATTTTTTGTAAAAGCAAACTTTTTTACTTGGAAAATAGTCATAAAAGTATTAATACACATAAGTGGAGAGGAGAGTAAAGGAGTGTTTTATGAGCAGAGAGTGAGACCTCCTTCACATCTCTGGCAGGAAGTGTTCTGTTTTCAAAGGTCATCCTTCGCATCTCGACAAGAAATGTCAGCTAAAATTGGATTGAGGGGGGTAAATGAATTAATAAATATATAAACAAATCAGCAAATAAGCCATCAAAGACGAAGGAATGCCAAAAGACAGGAGGTGAGGAAGGCCAAGCGCTGTAGAGAGGGGGGCCAATGATTATTAAATAAAAAAATTAGCGGTGTAGAAAATTAATCTATTTATAAGCTAGGGCAGCTCTGTTTTCAGACCTGGAAGGACATATATACCCCCCGCCCAACAAACACACACATATACACACACACAGACATCCACCACTTTGACTAAAACAGACACAGCATCCACACAACTGCTTTTCACTCACTGAGCCACAAATCATCTCCGCTCCTCAGACAGTGCTCATTTGAATAAGGAATTATAATTATGTGATTCACATGAAATTTTCATTAGGTTGGGGTAAAAAATATGCGTTAGAGTGGCGGATGTATCTAGGTGTTAATATTGATGACAGCGCCGGCTCCCCAGCCAGAGGGCGACGAAGTGAATGCTAAACTGAACCTGGGTGTTTGCTCCTCTGCAGAGGAGGTGCAACTCCTCCTCCCTCCTTCTTTAATAATTCTGTTTGGCACAGATGCCATTGGGAGGGCCTGGCTACTCGAGAGGGTTGGCTAATTAGTGCAGCATCACTGGTAGCTACTGTCTGAGTGTGGGGGAGCTCTGCGGATTGACATTCAGGACCATGCGGAGGAGAACCAGACAGCCACTGAGCGAGGTGTCGCAGTGGATCAGCGGCACGGACGTTGAGAAATCTAGTCGTCATCTGTCATGCCCGAGGAGAAGCTGTTAATATTTGCTGCAGCAACATAAAATAATTGCTTCCTTCTTTTCTGTTCACGTTTACAGCATTTTGTTACTCATAAAGAGATTTTCTTCTTCCTGAAATGTCTCTGAATCTTTTATGTTATGAGTAACTCTGAGTGCTGCAAAAACTTTAAAAATATGATGTCCAACGTTAAATATCATGGGTGTCAATCTTACAGGAAAGTTGTTTTTTTTCAGCCTGAAAAGTTGACATTTGAGAGAAGGGAGGTTTGTCTTTTACAATAGTAGTGCGCAGTTTATGAAATAATGTTACAATAAGTCTATGATATATTAATCTACGTATACATCTACATAAATTACATATACAAATACAAGCTGATATTGTGAAAATACATTGACTGAGGCAACACAGCAGTGATTCAGCCTGCAGTCAAGTTCTCACTCAAGCTTTTGTTCATCCAAACACCCAGAACAAAGACACAGCCTCTTTACCTGGAAACGTTCTCTCCAAGAAGGCAGAGTGAACATTAGCATTCAGTGTCAAAGATGCCACGTATTATTCCGCACTTTCTGTATTTATTATGTTGATCCAGTGCCTGGAACATCAAAGCCACTACCGCTTATCACCAAAGGTATTCCCAAAATAAACCCTTCCCCTCATTTGCAGAAGTTGAACTTGCTACAACCCCGAGACTGTCCTATAGCTGGAAGGTCACAGATAAAAAGTAATAAACTCCACAGTGAAAAATACAGGTATAAGCTACTAATAAGATGAGTTGTCTTCGCCACTCCAGCCTTCTGCATGTGTCTGCCTGATAATGCTCAGAACTTATTTCATGCTTTTCATCCCACCCAGTGTAACTATGCATCTCATGGTCCACCGCTTCAATGTACCATCCCCTCTATGGCTGAAACCTACTGCACGTATCCTGCCTGAATGCAAATAGTGACAGGGTACTGAATGTATGTTGATGTTCAACTATGCTAGCAATGCCTCTGTCACAGGTTGAAGGTGCTCATTTAAAATATCTTAGCCTGCTTAGTTCACTGTCTTAGATCTTGTTGAGATATTGTCTGAGGACCTTAGACTCAGATCTCACTTAATTTACATTTAAAGGTCCAGGGTGTTATATTTAGGAGGATCTATTAGCAGAAATAGAGTCACCTGAATATAGGAATCCTTAGGATGAGGATGAATACCTTATTTTTTTTACTTTTGAGTATTCCTGCCACAACAGACCCACCTCCACCTTATGTGTTGATGCTTTCAGTATTCTTGATAAGATCCAATGTTCTCATATGAGTGCATACTGTAAATGTATCAGTTGAAGTTCATGCATTGTTATACAGGGCTCAGTTGTCCCTGCTGCTGCACAGATTCTTTGTGAGCCCTTTCAAATAGGAGTCTTTTCAATCAAATCTAACCGTTTTATAACCACTGAAAAATAAATGGTCAGTTACATCACGCAAGAGGCTCTCACTG